CCCCAAAACCCCAAAACCCCAAAACCCCAACAACTGAAGTATATGTTGAAAATTTATTTATCAGTCTTTTTCAAATATTTAATAAAAGATTCGTTGCCTCCTTTTACTGGCCTTATGTATGCTCCATCTTGCTCATTACAAGCAGAGATAATTTCCTTCTTAGATTTTCCACCATCAGATTTATAGGAGAACAACTTTGATCTGGAGCAGGAATATGATGAATTATGTATCGGAATACTTCTCTTTATTATCACAGGCCTTTTAGACTTTCGACCTACTTGGGAAATATTTTTCACAGAATTTGTATAACTTCAAAACTTAATTTTACTCTTATCGCATTGGATAAATGATCCAGAAATATTCGAGCTAGAGAGATATTTAATTGATGACATAGAAGCTTTGGATGTTCTCTTAGTTGATCCAATTACTTTCATTTGTTTTGAAGTGTTAACCAAACTGTTATAAGCCAATTTTCGATTCTCTTTCATAATTGATAGCTTCTTCTTAATTGAAGTGCAAAAACCATTACGGATTTTCGGTTGGCAAAAATTACTAGAAATCACTGATTTTACAGCCGAAATCTTAGAGCTTGAGACTCCATGACTTTTACTCGTAGCAGAGCATTTATATATAGACTGCTTATAAGGTTTGTTTTTATTTATTCATTTAGAGTCAAAATTTACTTTCGGACCACAAGAGCTATTGTTTTCTCTTTCTACACGCTTATTAGTAGAGATAGATCTGACTCCTATAAATTGATAAATTTATGTTTAAAATGGGTAAACAAATTGTGTGAATATTCTTGAAACTAAATTTTACATATCCCAAGAATAAAGCAATATCAAGTGAATTATGCATTAAATATATGCTTGATAATTAAAGGCAAATTTTAAGCTCAGTTTCTTACTTGGAAATGCATATCAAGATGTATCTCGAGCATTCTCCTCCTCTGGGATACACTCTTCTGAAGGAGTCTCAGGAGAGCTCTTTTGTACAATACTATTTATTCCATTTCTTTCCTTGCTGTAATTGGTAGCAATAACATATTCTGTATCTCGCTCTATAAGGTCTTGACCACGTTTAGTTTCAGAAGGAAATCATCCACAAGATGCTTCTGTATATTGAAATTTTGGCAATTTTGGAAGATTTTCGAGTCCTAACTTCACAGTATCGAAGTGACTTGTAGGTATTTGGGATACCTTTCCTTCTCAATTAATCATTTCCTGTCTTGAATTTAAATTCCTAAAACGATCTCAATAATTTGAAAATACCTGGAATAAAATGTATTATTATCAATTTTCTTATTAGAAAGGCATCCATCAATTCGTTTCTTCACAAATTCCTCAACTGTTTCCATTCTAGGCAGATCTTGCTTCTTCTTTTCCAATTCATAGGCATCATATTTCTGATTAGTGAGGTTAAAAACATTGCTATCCGGGGGCTGGTACTCCTCATCAGGCTGATTAAGAAACTCATATGCTTCGATTATTGCCTTCCTTAGCTCAACTCGTGACTGTACAGATCCTTTGGATCTTTTTCCTGATGAAAAGACTCTCTTATTTGCCCAGCTGTCACTAACACTGAGGCCTTCGAATTCAGGGCCGATCAATGGGCTCCTCTTAAACTCAGTTTTCTTCCTATTACTTCAGTCTTTTCTTTCTGTTCCTCTGACTGGAGGATGTGCTGTTGGCCCCGTTGACCAGATTGGTCTGGTCTTCGTTCTCTTTGTTGCTGGTCTGGTCACTGGCTCTTCGAGGGTTTGAATGCGAAGGATTTTCGAATAGGCTGAACATAGTGGAGAGGTACGAAGTTGGTATAAAATATTTAAATTTTTAAAATTCAATTTTTCAAGTAAAATTTGGGGTTTTGGGGTTTTGGGGTTTTGGGGTTTTGGGGTTTTGGGG